CTACTTATTTCTTTCAAAGGATGTTTTTTTGGGGTAGTGGGAGAGTTAGGGGGTGATTGAGGCAATGTAATAGCAGTAACCCAACCACCCCCCAAACAAAGAAAAAAGACCATTGAAGAAACATTTTAAAAATATACAAAAACTAGTAGAAGGAAGTTCAGCAGGGGAACACAAATTAGGCTTGTGTTGCAAATACAGAGTTAACTTTAATATATACTTTGTAAAATTCTTAGTTAAATGTGCAGAACTGAGGCTACTTAGATTTAACTTTATCCCTGTAATCTAATTTTATAGATCTGTATTGACTTTGATTGACTGATCATTAGGGAGTAGATTGTCATATATGAGAAAGATTCAGACTTTGTGACAAATACTTAAAAAGTCAGTCACCATCTTTCCAGGCATATTATCCTCAGTAGAATTGTGAATGAATGACATCTTTCCTATATCAAATGCAAGGTAGTTGGGAAGCAGGAAAATTGTGTCTGTGATACTTTTTACACAGCAATAGGTCACCAAAGCCAGCAACTTTGCCCTTATTAAAAGGGGACTCGAGAACTCTATGGGAGTGAATACTTTGACATTGTTTGGTTTGAAGTTGTGGACCCGCAAAGGTTATTTTTTTCCCTTCCATCTCTGGTGGCTTGAAGGATGCTGCCCAGTGAAGGCATGGAATGCTGTCTCTCCTTATCTCCACCTCCTGGCTTCCCTATCTTCTCTAGCCTCCTTCAAATTCTAGCTAAAGTTCCACATTCTACAAGAAGCTTTTTCTGATCCCTCTTAATCTTAGTAGCTTCCCTCTGTTTATTATTTCCCATTTATCCTGTTGTAGGTTATTTGTACATAGTTATTTGCATATTATCTCCCGCTTTGATTGTGAACTCCTTTAGGGCAGACACTCTTTTACCTTTCTTTTCCCTAGTGTTTAGCACAGTGCCTGGCCCATAGTAGGTGCTTAATAAATGTTTATTGATTGACTGACAGCTCTGTCCTCTACAATCTGGTAGCCTGGATCTGCCATTAGTGGTGGCTTCTTTGATATATACTTTTTAAGAAAATCAAGATGTACATATTAAAGTGTCATATGTAGTCATCTCTTTCCATAAGGAAATAGTCATGGTTGTAAATATAAAGTTCATAATGATAAGAAAACATTTAAATTCGGTTGAGATAATGAGTATATGAAATATTTTACAGACATTAAAGTGCTCCATAAATTTCAGCTCTTATCATTCATAGATTTGTTGTTTGTTTAAGAAGATAAAAATATGCAATGAATTTTAGGAAGACTATCAACAATATTTAAAATAAAAATTTTATTAAATTTCTAAGGGGAGCTAGCCAAAGAACTCTCACATTTTCTATTGCTGTCCTCCAGTGATTTCCAGTAAAATGGTCTCTGTGGCCTAGCACCCCATTCCCCAGTGCCAGATCACAGGATCGTTGACCAAGTTCCTCACTTCCTGACAGGGAAGTCAGGGGCTACTCTGCACCAAATCTAAGATTTACATCATTACAGAATATAAGAAAAAGCAAAATGGCAGCAGTCCTGTACTATGGGTCACTTGTAGCAACCCATGACTACAACCAAAGGTACTTGGGTTCCACTTCCTGGGACAGCTCCTGTGGAAGTAACAATTACTCTGGGGAAGGGATTGCCTACCATCCTAGTCTTCTAGAATCAGATCCAGGCCATTAGTGGGCATGCTTCTTTGGGAAACTGAAGGGAGTGAGTGTTTATTGAGGAGCATAGTGACCTGGTAGAAGCTATTCTTAAGGATGGACCTAGACAGTATGGATTAGAGTGGGAAGAAATATGTGGCAGGAATATTAGTTAGGTAGTCATTGCAGTTGTTTCTATGAAAAATAGAAAGGGTTCTTGAACTAAGGGGGTGGCTGTGTGGTGACTGAGAAGGGGACTGATGCAAGAGATTTTGTGGAAGTAGAAATGGTAAGATTTTGCAACTAATTAGTTATGTGGGGTGAAACAGAGTGAGAAGTTGAGGGAAATGCCAAGGTTGTGAAGCTGGAAGACTAGAAAAGATGGTGATAACCTCCACAGAAATAGTCAAGTTCAGGAGAAGGATAGATTTGGGAAAAAGAGAATAAGCTTTGTTTTGAACATGTTGAGTTTGACATGTCTCTGTGATTTACAGTCTGAGAAGTCCACTTGGCAATTAGTGATACAAGTTTAGGGGAGAGACTTGGACAGGAAATGTAGATCTGTTCATCTATATAGAGATGATAATTAGACCCCTAAAAGTTGATGAGGTCAGCGAGAGGAAGAGTATAGAGAGAGGAAAGAAGAGGACCCAGGACAGAGCCTTGAGGAGCACCCAAGTTAGGGTGCATAATATGGATGTTGAGCCAGCAAAAGAGAGAGAAGGAATAGCCAGATAGGTAATAGGAAAACAGGGTGAGATCAGTGTCATGAAAACCCAGAGAAGAGAGTGTCCAAAAGGAGGTGGTAGTCAAAAATGTCAAATGCAGCTGGGGCTAGAAGGATTAGGACTTAGAAAAGATCATCTAAGTTGGCAATTAAGAGATTATTGGTAAGTTTGAAGAAAGCAAGCTCAATTGAGTGATGAGTTTGGAAGCCCAAACTCTGTTCATTTCTCAAGAGGTTGAGAAATGAATGAGCAGAGATAAAGTAGAGGCAGTAAGAGTAGAGAGATATCCTCTTGTAGAAATAATAAACAATCACTTGCATTTATATAGTTTTAAGATATGCAAAGTGATTTACAAATTTGATCTCATTTTATCCTCACAATAACCCTAACAGGTTGGTGCTATATTATTATCCCCATTTTATAGTTGAGGAAACTGAGACACAGAGAGGTTAAGTGACTTGCTCAGGGTCACACCACTAGTAAATGTCTGAGGCCAGATTTGAACGCAGGCATTCCTGAGTCCATCACTCTTATCAACTGCACATAACTTATAGGAGTTTGGTGTGGGTGTGGGTGTGTGTGTGTATTAAATCAGTAAATCGACAAGGAAATGCCTACTATGAAACAATTCCCACTCACAAGAAATTTAAATTCTAATCAAGGAGCCAATAAGTACATATAAAACAAACATAAACATACATAGCATAATTTTGAAGTTTACAAATATCTATGTGTATAAAGGTATATTAGGTATGTAGCTATATAGTACTTAAATACAGGGTGATTTAGAGATGAGGGCATTAGAAGCTGGGGACATTTACAAAGCTTCATGAGGAAGATGGTGTTTGAGTTTCATATTAAAGGAAGGGAGAGACTGAGGCAGAGGAAAGGAGAGACTGTCCCCTGGGAATGTGGGAGAAACAGGACAAAGGCACCGTGATGGAAGATGGATTTTTGTATAGGAGGAACAGAGAAGCCCATTTTGTAGCTAGACCGCAGAGTGTCATGTGGGAGGGACGTCCGTTGAAGCTAAAAGATAGACCGAGCCAGGTTGTGAAGAACTTTCAGCCAACCATGGCAGATTCCAGTTTATCCCAAGGCAATAGGAAACCTGTGAAACTGCAGTTTGTTGAGTAGGGGAGTGATATGAGCAAATCTGTGCTCAAGGAAAGAAAAAGAAAAAGTGGAGGGAAGAAGTAGATGAGTGTTGGAGGGGTGGCTCTAACACCCTCTGGCATCCTTAGTTCAGGTTCAGTGTTGGGGCAAAATGAGGCACTCTTAAGTCACTGAACATTTAACAAAGGAGGTTTATTTTCCTCAAATACATCAAAATACACAACAGAGATGCAGTGGTCCTTAGCTTCTCTGGATGTGGTCCCCATGTTCTCCATCTGGAAACACATATGATTAGGAGATCATTATGGTATGGTACTCAAGAGGTCTTAGGCACTTACCAGGTTTGAGAGGCTGTGGCTGGAACTTTATGCTCCTAGATCACCAGGAAGCCACCTCTGGAAAGCTGAGGCTAATTAGGTCCAGGAGGAAGCTTTATCTTTTTTTTTTTCTTTTTAAGGTGGAAACCCATTTTGGGGTGGGAGGGAAGAAGGGAAATGTGTTCCTATAACAATAGGCTATTGGCTTGAGAGAATGGGAAGGATAACTTCTTTGTGTGTTAGGTGGATTAATTACTGGGGAGAGGTGTGCATGTTTGCAGGAAGCAGGGAAAAAGTAAATAGGAAGAGATTGATGAAGGGGAGGGATGACTACAGACAACAGTCTGTTGGCAGAAAAAGGAAGGTATGGGATCAAGTTGGCAAGCAGAGAGGTGAGTTTTGGTGAGAAGGGCTACCTCTTTATCTGAGATTAAATGAAGGAGGAGAGAAGAGGGGTGATGTCAAAGGGTTTTGAGGTACAAAGTAGGGAGTCAGAGGGAGCTCATGGCACCAGGCCGAATTTTCTCAGTAAAGTAGGAGAGAATATCTTCTGATGAGGAGGACAATTTATAATGATGTAAGAAAAAAGTTTGCTACTGGTGCTTTTTAGCTTCAGAATTGGCCTGAGGGTTAACTCATTTAAGTTCCTTGAGCATAATAGGAGCTGAGTAAAGATTTGTTTAATTTGAATTGCATTTGATTTCCTTGAATTCCTGCCATAATTGGGCCCTTTGTATTTACTTTGCCATAAGAAATTTGACAAAGACACAACCCAGTGTTCCACAAGCCCAATGCCCTATCTCTGATGATGGTGCTAAGAGGCAGAGTGGTAGTTGTCATCCTCAGAGGATAGTGACCTGAACATTACTAATTTTATAGGGAAACACTTTTTAACCTCTATAAATGTCTGCAACAGATGTGGTTTTAGTGACTGAATTAATAGGTAGAATAAATAAACACCAACATACAGGTGTTACCTTTGAGGGGATTGGTTGAATTAGGGCACTGCTTGTTCTGTTGTTCCTTTTCCAGATGGGTCCCTTCCAATACGAAGCTGCCTGGTTCACCTAGTGGGAAATCAAAACCTACCCAACCAGTGTAACAGCTGTGGGAAAGAATAGCTGTATTGATGTGTCCCAGGCAAGTGCAATCCTCCCTTCTGCTCTTCTCCTCACAGCTGAAGTCTACATTGGAATTGGCAAGCCTGCAGAAGCAACAGCCTGTACCCAGGAAGCGGCTAACCTCTTTCCAATGTCTCACAATGTCCTCTACATGCGAGGCCAAGTCTCCGAACTCCGAGGAAACATTGATGAAGCCAGACGTTGGTATGAAGAAGCCTTATCCATCAGTCCCACTCATGTGAAGAGCATGCAGAGATTGGTAAGTCACAAATATGAACCAGTCACTCCATTGTTGAATTGGCATTCATCTTAGAATTCCAATTCATTGAGAGGCTTTGAGCTTTGGGTCCCTTCCCCCCATTCAAAGAAATGCCAACCTAAAAGTAAGTGATTTCAGTTTGCTAGCAGCTTGGGTAGACTGTGTTAGAAGCCACAGTGTTGTCAAATGCATATAAGTTTGAAACTTTAACCGACAGGTTAGAGAGATAAAGAAGTGCTTGTTCTCAAAATTTCTGTGCTGTTGCTTTACTTTTGAGGAATTTGTAACACTTTTGTTGCCATATGGTAGCTATTCTGGAGAATTTCCTGGGCAATTAGGTCCACATCTTAAGTACACCAAGGCAGCTATCTTGTCTCATACCATTCAGTTTCTTAAATCTTTGACAAGTGAGTGATAACATCCTAGAAGAGATGAACAATGCCATTCACAGTACAGTTACTTTTCCCTCTTCACTGTGGACGTGAGATTGTGGGTTATGATGATCTGGTGTGGACTTTTTGCCACCTAAGAATTACCAGGGTTAAAGGTAAGTAGGCAGTCTGGAAAGAAGCCAGTTTGCACGTTGTTCATGAGTTTGTTGCCAATGACATGCTTAGACTGTGCTCTTCTGGGAATTTGAACCATAGGTGAAGGATAGCTTCACTGGGCCCACTGCCTTCCTCTCTGAAACTTCAGTAGTTAATTTGGGAACCTGATTCTATGGGGAATTATCCACCACTCTGTCATGTCCACAACATATGTCATAATTTTTGATGGTTTAGGTAATGATTACTACCAGGCAGGGGCAATAGATTGAATTAACTTTGTAGGTTCCTTGGAAAAGTCACTTGACCTCTCTCATCTTTAGTTTTTTCATCTATAGAATGAGGATTAATAAAATACTACCTATGTCAAAGGGTTTTTGGTAGAAAGGTGCTTTGAAACTTTATGAAATTCTGAAATTGAACCTAGTCAGCGAGTTAATAAGAATTACTGATATGCCCAAAAGTCAGAGTAATTTTTGGGGGGAAAAAGTGTATGTGGTTGTGTAAGCATGTACATATATGCACACATATGTATGTTATACACATTTATATGCACACAAATATATAGATAGATAGATACAGATATAAATATATGCCATTTTGTGAAAATATATTATTCTTTCACTTAATGTGCATGCCAGGTTCAGAGGTCAGAATCTGTATTTCTCTTCTAACATCTCTGACTTTTTCCAATATAAGGTAAAGGAGTTCCATAATATTACTTAGGTGCCTTTCATGTCACCAACTCACTGGAACTTATCAGTTAACATCCCTCCTAGCCCCTACTAGTTGTTTTTGTGTTCTGACAGTCAGTCAGAAGCTCTGCTGGTATGGTAGAAAGAACACTGGTTTGGTAATCAGGAGACAGGTTTTGAGTCCTTACTGTGACACATATTGCAGCATCATATATTTAGAATTAAAAGGGATATGAGAGGTTTTCTAATCTAGCCTCCCTGATTTTACAGATGAAGAAACAGAGGCCCAGAGAGTTAAATGACTTGCCACATAGGCCACATAGGTGGTAAATGGCAGAAATAGAATTTGAACCCAGTTCCTTTGAGTTCAAATCCTGTTCTCCTTTCAGTATACGTAGCACATAGGTCATTTTGGATAATTACCTTTGGTCCCTAGTTTGGTCCCTAGTTTCTCGTCTCCAAAAGGAGAAGATTAAACTTGATGACCTTTAAGATCTCTGCCATCTCTAAAACCTTATGATTCTATATATAATAATGAAATACTTTCACCAAAGGAACTTACAAAACTTTACAGCTTTCATTATTTTGTTAATTTTCATTGTACTTTAAAGTGATCAATATTTTCTTCCATTTTTAAAATGGGAAAACTTAGGCAAAACAAGAATTTTTTTAAAATCAAAATTGTATGATATCATCTTTCTCATCTTTTAAACCTCCCTTTAGATATCTCTGTTGCTTTATAAGTAATTTCACATAATACTATTACAAATCTGTTTGATTAAAAATATTAGGTGACTTAATTTTTGTCTCACTATCATAAGGGGAATTCTTATAAAGCCCTTTAAGATATTGCTGCTATCATTAGAGCATTCAGAACAGCTATAATCAGCTTCTTGTACCCAGCCTTTTTATTCAAAAGGATAAGTGAGTTTCTGCCTAGGTACTTATGAATTATTCAGAGAAGTATTTCTCATACATCCCTAAGGGGAACACATGAGACAAAAGATCAAATAGGAGAATCGCACAGGGAAAGTTTTATGTTTCACCTTTGCAGCTTTTCGAGACATATGAGCTCCCCGACAAATGCCAAAAGCTTCATTTTCTGGCAGAAGCAGGAGGCAGACCCAAAACAGGAAAGCTGTGTCTAACAGACTATACAGATCATCGTTTGGGGATTTTCCTTCTGAGTCTATTGGAAATTAGTGGCTTTAATTTTGGGGTGCTCTCCAGACTATGTAAGGTACTAGTTCTCAGATTTTGCCCAGTAGAAGAAAGAACTAACTTTTTTCAAGACATTCCCCCACCATGTTTCCCTGTGCTTTTTGGCTTAGCCATCTTGAGATGTCCAAGAGCTAACTGAATTGTAGTTAAATTTAGTCCCATGACACTGTGAGCTCTTTGAATATTTATTGCATTTGAGAAAGATTTTGAAATGTACGATTTCTTACTTTCAGAGACCTCTGCCTAGGACTCTAATATAAAACTTGAAGGGTTGCATGGAAATTTTTTTCTTGGTTGATTTGTAAATAAGGAAAGATAGGTTATATCCTCCCCTGATTTAGGCCCAGGAGAGTATTTGCAATACAGTCCCCAGAGTTCTGAGAGGAGGAAAGCCTCCCTCCACTGTGTAGCCAACAATAAGTCTGTTAACAAGGAGTGTTTAATTCACCCCGCTTCTACCAGTAGTCTTTGTGATTGAGAAATACTTGGAGCATAAATGACCTCAAGGGGAAATTGGGCTCATCAGAGCATATATTGCTGAGCTTCCACCTTCTGGTCCCTTATCCTTGCCCCTCTCTGATAGCTTGGAGCATGCATGGAATCTGTATTGTTTCTGTGTATGGTAGTTCAAGGAAACGGGAAAGAAGAGACACAAAGGGCACCCCAAATATTGGGATGGCCTTTAGGGTATGATGTAGAGAATAATTAAACATAAGTCATTGTAATCAGTCAGTGATCCCAAGGAATTCCTAGTAGTATCTGACAGAAACCTGGGGTCCAGCAGAACAAAATTAAAAATAAGGATTTAGCACATAAAGGGAAACTAGGAAACTGGTGAGAGGATGGAAGGTGGGGACAGGATACCCCTTAAGGGCAAGGCTGCATATGAGAAGGTACAGCTGTCTGGAGAATGACTTGATGTGGGAAAGAAATAAGCATGGCCAGGCCCTCTCATGAAATGCCCATCTAAGATAGCCAGGGACCCTCCAAGCAGGAGAGCAAGATTCAGTTCAGAAGGAGCTCTCTTTGTATGTGTACTGTGAAAAGCATTCACTTGCGATCTTAGGTAAAACAAGTATGTGAAAATATGGAATGAGCTTAGTCTCTAGTTGCAAAGTACACTATATATGAAATATAAACATTTGTATGAATGTAAATGTTTCATCATGTCATGAAAACTGATTTTAATGAAGACAAGTCTTACAAATGCTCTTGACTTGAAATAAGGAATGTAAACAGAACCCTAAATCATTAAGTGGTTAATTATTCTCTTTGGCTGTAATATTAACTGATATTTGGTCTTTTGCCTTGGTATCTGTTTGATTGCAGAGGAGGAAACAGAAAGAGAGAGCTATCAATTTGATAAAACAGTATCTATAGTGTTTGGAAGGGACAAGGCAGAGCGATTAAAAAAAAAAGAGGGTAGGAAATTAGTGCCTGATAATATACAGCAACCAGATTTTTCCCCCTCGTAGGAAATCTGTAGACATGTCTTAGTTTATTTTGCATAAATATGTAAATATACAAAATTTGCATGTTGTGTCTTAAAACCTCTATCTCTAAGAACATGATAGTAATTAGTAAAATACAGAGCAACTACATAGAGCAAACTCATTCTGATTTACAGGGGGTGGGGGTGGAATGTGACTAACAGTGGTCTGAGTCGAGACGAGGACAGCTTCCTCGGGCTGTTTTTCCTGAACCCAGCCCATTTGCTTAGTATAGCCAGACAGAATGACCAGAATGTCTCTGCAAAGTTGGGAACATCTGGTAGTCCTATGATAAGTCAGTACTGGCTTTTAAAGAAAATTTGTGAGATCATATGGTGAAGGAAGAGCAAGAGATTTCAGGAGAGACTTCAGTGTGGAGAAGAGCCAGGAAGGTTGTGTGTATGGGAGCTGATAAGAGAAGAATAATAGCAAGGGGAAAAGTAGAAATAAGGGAAGAATGTGTAAATTTATTCTAGAAGTCAGTATGATGCCCAGCATTCTTGGAATGCCCATGACAGATTAAGAATAGGAAGGAAAAAGGAACAGATGGTTGAAGTAAGCCTGTGTCTGGTGGGACAGATGACACCTGGGGAAGTAAAGGTAGCCAGAACAGGAGCTTTTGGAATTCAGCATCATGACTTTAGAGTACCAGGAGGGTTGTGGGGGTCAAGGACAGAGAGGTATAAATGGACAGAAGAGTAATGCAGCTGAAAAGCGTGAGGATTCAGTGAGCTGAATAAAGGTCCTAAACAAAAGAATGAGGGGAATTGGGGAGGAGATGACACATAGATGGAAAAACTAAGAGACAAATGCAGTAGAGGAACGTAAGGAAAATGAGAATTAGACAATGTCAGTGTTATTTCTATTATTTCTAATAGATAAAATTGAGAGAGTAAAGTTACTGAGCTGTCAAAGTTCCCAGGGCAGCCTGTAGACTGAACTGAAACAGGAAGACCAGCATTCAAAGGAAAACAAGAGTTTAGAAGTAGTAACTTCTAGTGGAAATGGAAATAGAAGAAAAATTAAGAGAGAAAAAGAAATAATCAGAA